AACAAGCAATACGGGTATCCCCTAAGCTTGAGTGTCATGAAATATGATGGACAGCCAAATACATATGCAAGAGCCAAACGATCGTTCCATATAGAAGGGAGAGCCACGGCTTACGACATTGCCCTCAACCAAAGATACTTTCCGAACATTTAAACTAATACAATCTGTAAATAGATTACTATACGGATCATTACACTCAAAGAAGTTAAGCACTGTAGAACACTCCATGCGGAGCAAGCGCCTTCTGAGAGCCAACCCGACACAAACACAGAGAAAAAAGAAACTCGACCGCCTTTTCAGAGCCAACCTGACACGAACACAGAGAGAAAAGAAAATCGACTCATGTATGATCAATCTTTATTAAATTTTCCTCCATAGAATTAAGATATATCACACAGTACAAACAAACAGACAAACAAATAAAGGAACCGACAAACATATACATGACCCCGATGACAACAGAGATTTCTAATAACACAAAAGCACAACACAATCACCCCAGAAACAGTCTCTCGGGAGAAGCTCCGCTTCAAGCGCCAGCCCGAATCACACTCTGCCGTCCTAAATGTGATATACATCGATATAGAGAATGATTAGCATCGCTATAGACACACTACAAACGGAAGACGAAGAGCACCTCACAAACAAAGGCGTCAGAGCTAAAATTCACAGCACGGGAATGCACTCAGTAGCAGAACTGGATAGCTGAAGGTCTCATCACACGCACACGTTACACTGATTTATTGATATGGACTCGATTGAATGATACATACCAATTGTCTGCCGCATCCGCACCAGCTGATCCTCTCGGCTGCAAACCCAGTGCCCCAGAACACAACCTGCACCCAACGAACAGTACAAAAGTATGAAACGGGACAGTTTGACGAGAAAAGGTATTCAGTGGGGCGTCAATACATATAATATATATAATTGTGGGGTAAAACTTACACGTCTCGTGGTTAAGTCGTAACGCGACACGTCCGATTGTCTACCCCTTTCCTATACCTTCACTGTTGATAAAACGGTTCTGTTGCTAGAAACAAGGCAGCAGACGCCGTCCCTGAGAAGGACATACAAGCTAAAAATAGCTCGTGGAAAGCGAACCCCCAAGTACGATTGGTCATACCTGATAACACTGTGGAATACTGTCGTTCAACCGCATATCACACTGAGATGAATGGTCCCAAGTCCTCACGAACTCCTGTTTAGAGAGAGAATGGTCCCACACGTATAAGTATACACAACAACAATCGAATACGCACCTCAATGCATATGTCGGCAAGAGCATCAGAGCTAAAATTCACAGCAGGGGAATGCACTCAGTAGCAGAACTGGATAGCTAAATGTTTCATCACGTGCTCGCCTTCGGTATCAAATGTAAGGGACAATATACATAAACCGATCGATCCTTACGCATACCTAGACTATGCATATGAGCCTAGCTTTAGAACTATCGGGTTTAGCGATTCTAAAATTTGTAGCCAGATGAATTGATCTCGCTCGACAGTCGCAGCCTATCAGGAAGCAATGGATATTACGATAAGGTAGTGTGGTGTGCGAAATGCAGATGACTGCTCCAATTGAAGAACGTGACCGAAACGACACTATCACAAACACCAAACCAACTGAAACTAGTTTTGAAACTATTTTGAGTACGAAAAGAACGGAAAAAACAACACAGTAAACTATACATGGAAAATGTACGGCAAAACTTCCACGTCTCGCAGTTTAGTCGTAACACGACATGTCCGATTGTTTTCCATTCCATAATACCTACCCTGTTAATATAAAGGATCCGTAGCCAGCTGACGGCCACGGACGCCGTCCCTGAGAACTATACCTTGACGCGAATCATATGACTACACTCTAATGACTCCACTCAAAAATCATACATATTTATATGCATAAATATATATAGACCGTCACGTGTACTATGCCACAGGGTAAACACACCTACCTCCGTATCAGCGATCGTCGACATTATTGACTCTCTCCCAAAGCTCCACGTATCTTTGGCACGAAATATATCAACCATGGTTATACCCAACAAGCAATACGGGTATCCCCTGAGCTTGAGTGTCATGAAATATGATTGACCATCACGTGCGCACGCCTCAGCAAAACACTCACGACCAACATGGGAGAGCTACGTCTTTGACAACAAAGCCCTCGACCAAACCAGTCCTTCGTGCGAGCATTACAGGAAACATGGGATGCACGCGAGTTACTTTACGAGTATTTGTACTGGGAGAAGTTAAGCACTGTGGTACACTCCGTGCGGAGCAAGCGCTTTCTCCCAGCCAACCCGATACACGACGCTTTAATCATTGACATACATAACAAATTAGTGTTTAGGGTTACGGCATATATACACATCGTAAATACATACTCGTATATTGAAACAAACCCTCACGAACTCACAACAGACTGAACACATACAGCCATGAGTCCGGAGACGAAAGGAAATCAAGACACCCACAGCGACAAGCCATGGGCTGGTGGACTGTTTAGGTGCCACACCTCAGTAGGTTTGTGTTTCTGTTGACACAAGTGCACAACCAATTTACTGATCCTACCGCTACAAGGGACTCTACTCCTCTTGCGAAGCCAGGAAGGTCTGCTGGATTTGTTGCACACGATTCTTGCGCTGGGCGTACGTGAGCTTCTTGCGGTGGTTCTTGTGCTTCTGACCCTCGAATGGCTTGGACTTTTCCTTGGGGGAGGGGTCGGCACGGATAGCCTCGTGACACTCCTTGTACATATCCTCGAGATCATCGAATGAGATATCCTCAGCGATGTAACGAGCGAACTGTACCTTGTACTTATCCTCATCCTCTTCCTCAAGCTCTTCCATAAAGTCGGCCACGTGACCGCCGTATACGTAACGCTTCAAGAACTCAACATACTCCTCGGGCGTGTCCTTGGACCAGGCGGGGAAACGCTTTTCATTGTGGGGGATATCTAGACCTCCGTCTACGGCACCCTTCATGGCACCGAAGATCTTGGCACCAGTGGAGGTACGGGCTAGACCAACATCAAGGAAGCAACGGAAGGGACGGGGTCCTTCAACATTCTCCTCAACGTGGTATAGTTCGTCATCCTCAGTTAGTCCTCCCTGAGGGTGTTATGGGGTGTGTAATCAAGGGTAAATATATATTATAGTACGTTCTATGGTTTAGGGTTTCTAGGATTTATATATATATATATATATTTAGTATCATATAATACTGTACGCATTTGACAATTCTTGAGATATAACAAGTGCTACGGTTCCAACATGCGTCAGAGCTAAAATTCACAGCAGGGGAATGCACTCAGTAGCAGAACTGGATAGCTATAGGTTTCTTCACTCGCAATGGAACCGTAAATACTATATATCTTGTATCTATCATGAATTATTTACATCTCGTATGAATATATGAGTGCACACATAGAAATACACATATACAAGCATAAACATGTATATATATATATATATATGCATTTATGCATTTATATATATATATATATACTAAATGTACTATGTATTATGTATATATATTTTATATATATAAATTTTTTATATATAAATATGTATATATATATATATAAGATATAAGATATATAAGATATACAAGACATATGTATATATGTGTGTATATATAAGTTATGTATTATGTATCGATACCATAATATACAGCACTGCTATACTAAAATGTACTTGCGATACAATTGGCAAGGAGTGGTAACAAAAATGGAAACAAACAAAACAATCAAAGTAGTATAGTTCTGTAAGACATAGTAGACATACGTTGACATTACCTCCGTACTCGTCACGGGTATACACACACGCACCAACAATCAAATAAAACATATACAAGCAGGATTTTAGGGTTTAGGGTTTAGAATACTTACGTTGGTGTTACCCTCGTACTTGTCAGCAAGGTTGTACTTGGTCAACAAGCGACGGGCCAATAGAAGACCGGTTGCGTAACACGCAGCCCAGTTGGTCAACCCGACCTTAACGCCGTAGCGAGGGAGCTCGTGAGAGTAAGCCGCACAGATGATGCGGTCTCCTTCGATAGTGGCATAGGCTACCTGGCAGATGACATCCTTGTTGGTGAAACGGACGCACAGACGGTACTTGGGGGTGTTGTACTTGTTCTTGTCTTGACGAACCAGCTTACGGCGGGCGTAGTAATCAGTCTTACCCTCTGTGTGGCGATGCAAAGACGGACAAACATACAGATGTAAATAGGTGTATGTAAATAGGTGTGGTTGGATATGAGAGTAATTTCAGTTGACAATATTTGGTAGTTGACAATATTTGGTAGTTTCAGTTGCAATAGTTGTGCAGCATATGCATGCACGAGTTTGATATGGGACAAAACTTACACGTCTCGCGGTTTAGTCGTATCGCGACACGTCCGATTGTCTGTCCCTTTATTATACCTACCCTGTTGATAAAACGGTCTTGTCGCTAGTTTCCCACAACAATAATGCTGCCGGAAAGGGCAACAAGCGCCGTCCCTGAGAAGGATATATCTACTACAATTGTTCACAAGACACATGGCAGGGAAACGAATAGCACGTATGTACACAATCAAACACGGAAATTGAAATACACATACCGCGACGACGACGATATTTGACTTGATAACGCTTGAAATAAGCCTTATTCTTGACAACCTTGACGAAAGCCTACGAGTTTCAGGAATTCACAAGATTTGCGTGATTGAGCGGGGTGATCTCTCGAGCGTGATAAATAGTAAACTCGCCATTCCGAAACAGTTTAACTGGTATGCATGCAAGCTTAATCTGCACTGTATTTTATATCCAATACTATATATCCCTTTACTTTGTAGCGTATCCCATCCTTTCTTGTAAGTATATGGTCAGGGTCTGTATAGCGTTGCATTGCGGTGCGATGCTCTTGCAACATTTCTAATTGTGTGCGTCTTATGTTTCTTAGCGGACTTATGTACAGGCTTGTGCGAGCGTGAGTGGATACACAGCTAAGGATTGCATGGATGAGACTTCGTATTATGGTACGTACCATGGTTAAACAATTCTAATCCGAAACGGTAGCTTCGGCTGTAGGGTTGAACTGAAAGGACAGGGATGCACGCGTGTGTCGCTGTTTTTGTTCCAAAGCCATTGGCAAAGTCGGATAGTGTTTATGCCATGCGCACATTACTGAAATATCACTGTGAGGTTCGGTACCTACGGTTCGGTGGCTCTCAGCCACAGTGTGACTGTGGTCACTATTAGTCTAAAATAATTTAACTCTATGAAAACCACTGGAAATAATACAGTACAATATAATAGTTTGCGACAATTTGAAATCAAATCCCACACGTGTTGAGATATATATATATATAGTAACAATACCATGACTCTATCTCTCTATAGAGAGAGAAGTCTCCAAATGAAAGTTTGTTTCTCATCCTAAAATTTACAACAATATTTTATATACATACTTGGATTTGTCGTGAATTCGTGCTTCCAACCGAATTATTTCAAAAAATCACAAACGAAAAATATTTGGCCTTTTTGACCCATGTGCACTCGATCTGAGTAAGGAAACATAAACGGCACACAGGACATTCCCAGTCTTTCTTTTTTAGCAATCCAGAACATTCAGCATGGTACGTATCTGTATCTGTGTATGTATGGCTGTGGATATGCTAAGAAAGAGTGCACGCATATAGGTGTAGATTCGCCTTGGTAGTAAGTGACACATAGGGAAAGTTGGCTCTCGCCCAGACAGACACTATCCATGCAACAACAATGAACGAAACGGAGACAACAACGCACCAACACAGCCTATAAACTCGCGCGAAGAGCTCTATATAGCATTATCAAGTGCACACAGGCAGTTGTTGAAGAGTAATACACAGGCAGTGTAGTACAAGAAGATAATATAGTCACCAATGGACATACTGCATACACTTGCAATGACAGCTAAGGCGGTTCAAAGTTAATATACTTGGTGATCACATGTGACAACCTAAACATCTTACAGCAATGTCTCAGCTACATCGGCCATAATAGTATACAATAAGGACATACCACGCCACTATCACCGCTGGCATTCAAAAACGCGTTTGATACGGAGCATATTTTAATTTGTCATTCCACGTTCCACACGATGTAGGGTTACTCACGATTTGTTGAGATCGGCCGTGTGTGCCTGGTCAATTACGGACCTCTAAACAACTCTCTTGTAGTTGTCGTCGATGTCGTCGATGGTCGTCGTGTAAGTACTGCGTGTTCAGTCTTTATTTTCAAGCTGCTTTGTATTTTATCGTTTGTGACGTCGACGTCTCAGAACAGAGTACACACCCCGTACTGGTATCATTTGAAATATTACAATTATCGTCGTATTTCTTTCCCCAAGTATATGTACTTTGTTTAGTGTTACTGCTGAACTGCAAGCAACTGATGAATAGAATTCGATGAGGGTGGGCTTTTGAATACCCTTTGATCGCACTTTTCTGGGTTTCTGATGCTTATTTGATAGTAGCCATGTATATAGGACAAATATATTTCAAGGTCTTGTTCCTTCGTATATACTCATAATAGATGGTGTATACTCTTATCGAGTTATATTCCTGGTTTCTAATACTTCGTATGTACTTGTACTGCGATCTAATTGTATGGTATAGGCCCTTGTCGATGGACCCGGAGTGAAGCGTCAGATGGTTTCCTTCAAGCGTCTTTCTCTAACCAACCTTAAGGTTGAGGGTTTCGTTCACTCTGCCACCGCCAAGGTATGTATCTCAGAATGAGCGCTTGTTTTATTGGGGAATCGGCTTTGCACCCTTTCTCGGTTTCTTATTCATAGCCGACGTATGGTGATATGTAGTATATGTATATACATAGCAATTTAATTAGCTAGCTACACGCAGAGTATTGGATACCTATATAAACAACAAGGACACCATAGTGACATCCAAATCATCACATCTATCCACGAATAGATCGTCAAGAAGCAGTGGGAGGCGTGCGAAATTGAGAAGAAGTGGACAGAGAGCACTTGGGCCAAGAAGCTAGCTCAGCGTGAAGCCCGTGCCAACACCACTGACTTCCAGCGATTCCAGGTTATGATCAACCGCAAGAAGCGATCGCAGATCATCAACAAGGAGCTCGCCAAGATGAAGAAGAGTGCTTAAGTATTGTTGCTTACATTAAATAAGTGATTATAATCTTTACGGCGGAGGTACAAGTGTGTGTATTTGAGACTGAATTTTATATGTTCTGTCCTTGGTAGGTATCCTGTGTATTTCCTCACAAGATTAATGTTGCGTAGTAGGAATCAGTACTGTTGTATTATTCTTCACTTATTTTAATCGATTATTAAATGTGAAGCTCGGG